GAGGTCGAATCTATAGTTTTTAAAAGTTTTGTCTGTCAGTATGTCTGTTATCCGGGTCAACATATAGGATACTTTTTACCGCGGCAAAATATCTCATTTCTGAGAAAAAATGATGATGATGATGATGAAAAAATACATAAACTGCAATGTAAGAGTATACTAATATGTGAAACCTAAATGGTTTTTGGTCATCTGAACTGAGGCGGAGCCGCGGGCTATGCTAGTCTTATATAAATAAATTGTGAGTTGATATTTGTAGATATAATCCATTACACTAGACGTATACTAATAGACTGTTTTGAGTTTAAGACTTAATGATCTACCGTTTACTTTACTTAAGAAAATAGAGCGTATAATATATCAACGCTTGTTCTACAATCGCCAATTACGTTTGATCATTTAATCGTGGTTTTGTGATCGTTATAATTATATTTGGATATAATAAATGTAAAATATGTATATGTAAACTAGAGTTTAAAATAATATATTTAGTGTGTGGTGAAAAAAATATATAAAACATATTATTATGTCTGTTTGTCTCTACTCCACAGGGAAGTATGTTAAGATAGAAGAATATTTAAAAACTACACAACATTGTACACCATACATGGTTTCTGTTGCGTTGTTTGTGGTTGGATTAGTGTGTAAACAAATATCATGTTAAATAAATTGAATAAAAAATATTCACGTGAAGTAGAATATAAAACAAATTACTTCTTCTGTGTTCCCATTTTTATTCTATTCGATAAGGAATTCCATTGTAAATAAATAAAGTAAACGAATAATAAAAATTAAAATTTTCGTCATTCGTTTACTTTATTTATTTACTTTATTTATTTGAACTTTTAATAAATTAAAACGAATTTATTAAAAGTGTTGAAACGTCACCTTCAACACACATCATCTAAGGGTCAAGCGATAATAAAGCATACAATATATACTTAAAAGATGTTAATCAAAACTAAATTTTGTTCTTCTATACATATAATAAAATTGTAACTTATCCGAATCTGCACATTAAATATTTTTTGGAAAATCTTATTGAAATAGACATATTATCGGTACAGAGGCCGAATCTATAGTTTTTAGAAACTTTGTCTGTCTGTCTGTCTGTTACCGCATCACGGAAAAACCAACGCAGCGATTTTGATGAAATTTGGTATCATGGTAGCTGGTTTTCCGGGTCAACATATAGGATACTTTTTACTGCGGGAAAATATCTAATTTCTGAGAAAAACGATGTAAGAGTATCAATATGTAACACCTAAGAATTTTGTTTTTGGTTATCTGAACGCGGGCGGAGCCGCGGGCAATGCTAGTAATCATATATGACAATATGATATTACTGCAGAATTAGAGGTTATTATATAAACATGCGTACAACCACAGTGCACATTTAACTTCACCTTGACTCCTATACTGAGGCTGAGAATAAGATTAAGAAAAGGAAGTAGGTACACATAATATTATACTTCACAATGCAAACTTGTATATGTATTTAAAGTCACAGGCTTTATTTTTAGTTACGGTTGGACATGAATGCGGTTTTAATAGACCGAGTGCTTTTCCTTGAATATACATTATACATATTTAGACCTCTCCATAACATTAAAGATTCTTATCATGGCTTGTTAACGATTTATTTTACCGCATTACGTTACTACAAACCGGTGAAGAGTAAAATAAATACGTATTTTTGACTATTAATACCAAATTGCCAGAAAATTATATGCAACGCTCTATAAAATGCGGAAATGAGATATTATGAACGGTATGTTTGGTATACGATAACATTCGTTTAAACGTACGCTTTCTATGAATCTAGTGGTACTTGAACATTTGTGAATGCGCTTTCAGAGTTGCACAACACTTACAACACTAACATCTCCTACGTATCATTAAAAGCCTATTATTTTGGTCACAAAATGTAATGGCTAGTCCAAGGTGATGTATACAGTCGCGTGCCCCGAATAGACATTCGTCGTTACCAAATTTGATATCGGCCTAACGATCAGATCTTTTTATATTGTCTGTAGTTTTAATTTTATAAAAATAAAACGGTCTAATAACAGTTTTTATATGACAATGAGAATCCAATTATGTTTCGCAAGACTAAGATTTCTTTTAACGGGTAATTGATTGTAATTGGTTATATCATATTCATTAGGGAGTTATTTAACTGGAGATAAGATATATCACACACAATCATATTACTTATGGTTAAATAGGTCATTCACCTACAATTCGGTGAGTCGTGAAGGTCTTTTTTACTTATCTGAATCACGAAGCTTCCACTATGTTATGCTAAAGCTACAATCATTGTAGGTTTATTTTTACTTTTTATATCATAACGTATTTTAGAAATCAAAATGGCAGTGCGTATTATATAATTTTTACTTAGCGTATAGCCCGGACCGGTGTTGTAAGTAAGTAATACTTAGTAGTAATTGTGTTATCAAAAACTTACACACAAAAAGAAACCCAATCACTTGTCATATAAAGTTAATTAATCTATGAGAAGATATATGTAGTAATATGTGTCGGAGCTATGAAACCACAGGATTGCTGTTATTATGAGAACCAATCGTCTTTGTTCTAAAGTAACGCTATGAGGTACCTTGGCCGCAATTAATCAACTCCTGCAGTATGATAAATGTACGTATAATATTTGACCCAATTTTTTCATCTTATTGCTTGTAAACGTCATTTTACAAATAATTTTAATTAATCGTCCGCATAAGTGACGCATCAATATTTCTCAAGAAGGAAGCAGATAGGATTTTAGAATCGTTACATATACTTTAAATATTAACACCTGGGCCACCGAGCTTCGCTCGGAGTTTTTGGTTGAAAACTACAATTTTCTATTAAAAAAAACTAAAAATTTGAACAAATACAAAAAAAAAAAAAAACAAATTATACCTTTGTATCCGAGCGGGATTCACTTATTCGATCTTGCGCCTTGGCCGCTAGACCATGATGCTTATATATCCGAGTGTGCGAAATTATCGAACATAAAATATTATGCAAAAGAAAACCGCATGAAAATTCAAAATCGTTGGAACCGTTTCCGAGATTCAGAACACAAGATTCAGAATACAAGAATTGCTCATTTAAATATATTAGATTATGAAATTACATCGCATTTATATGAACTAATTCCCAATAGCATAAAGGCATATAATAGAGACAGTAGTAGCTCAGTGGTGACGTGCTCGCTTGAGAAATTGAGTGAAGCGGATTCAAATCCCAGGTCCCGCACCTGTGATATTTTCATGCGCGAATCATTTCTAACATGATTACGACTTATCTTACGGTGAAAGAAAACATCATGAGGAAACTTGCATTTCTGAGAAAACCTAGCAAGTTTTCGAAAGACATGTGAAGTCCACCAACCCTCAGCCAGCGTGGTAAACCTAGCCTGATCCCCCACGTATTGGAGGGAAGCCCGTGCTGAACAGTGGGATGTTAAAAAGGGCTGAATACGCCGACAGCTTAGTATTTATTCTAATTATATTGGGACAAGAAAATTGTATAAGAAACATTTTAGCAAAAAAAAATTAAAAAATATAATCTAAAATATGTACGTAATTTCGAACACCATATATGGAGTCTTACATCGGTTAACGATCACTTGTTCAGCACAGTGCGAAGAAGCACGTGTGCGCAAGCCAAGCACCTTATGATGATATAACATCTTACGCGATTTAAAAATATTGTAAATTATGAACAACGGTGATTTATTTAAAACAACATTACACGTGTAGTGATAAAATATATTAGAGTCAGCCTCGTTTTATATATTTAAAACTAAAAATTTAATTATGTTCTTAAATTATACCATACATAGCCAAAAGTTTTTTTTTTATTGTATAATAATAATTAATCTAGTCTCTGATCTACTGACACTAAATATTACTTGTCACAATGCATGTCAACATTAAGTTGCCATTATACGATAAGCCTATCAAAGTAAATCACCAAATTTAACTTAACTGTCAAACAGTGATAGTTATCAGTTAACCGTGACGTTAAGATTCGATCAGTTTAAGTTAAAGGAAAGTGAATGTTCACCTACTACGTTTAGCGCCTTTGTCCTAAGTGTCTTGCACCCTTGAATTTAAATATTTGCTAAACACTACTGATTTATTATTTTCTTTTATATTAAGATCTTCCTAAATTAGTCAGAAAAATGTCAACTTATTACCTACTTAAAATGAAAATTTAAAAGTATTACCATTGGCTATAAAAGTGACATCTCTATATTTTATGTGTTTACGAGTTGTGTAATATGCATATATTATAATGATCGCGTAATTTATTGCAAATATTTGCAAACGTATGACACTGAATTTGGAGGAGCCTGGCTTAATTCGTTTCCGTAATGGAATTAAGAAATTTGTTCTATAGAACCAGTTCAGGCACCTAGTCACGAGTTCTATTGGGTATAATAATACTGGTCAGCCCATTTAAAATTAACTATGTTCATTTGCCTTTGTCTTTCTACCCTTTTTGACAAAATTTAATTATGCTTTCTTATATATCTTTCTTATAATATATATATATAGATATCGATAAATAGTGCAAATTAATAAAAAAATACGTAAAATCTATCATTTATAGAGCAAATTTATGTCGTCATGTAAATGTCTTTGAATGATATTAACTTTAACTATTATATACATATGTGCGTACGAGTGTAATATTTGTAATCTCGTGAAAATTTATAAGTTCACACTCTAATGTAATGTAGAAATTTTACGCATAATACATATGTAAACATTAACTAATACATTTCGCAAATATTAATATAACATCCTTTTCCGGCTAAAATATGTAAATTTAAGAGTTCTATAATTTATGTATAAATATATTATAATAAATTATTTAAAATCAATTTTGGCATATCAATTAAAATATTTGCCTTCATAAATTTTAATGTCATGCTTAAAAATCTTAACACCTGGTAGTCATTGCTTAGAAAAAAAAAGTCTACTTACAACTGTGACGTATTTGGTCATGTTGGGGGTTAGTTGTCACTGTCACAGTATCACGAGAGAAGCACGCGCACTGACCGGCTGCGTCCGAGTTCCGACTGACTCTACTGGAAAATCGCCTGCAACCAAACGGTGGTGGTACAATTACCGCACAATGCCGCGTACATACAAATCAACAATTTGAGAACACGCGTCTAATAAATTATGAAAAACAGATCGCCGGGGTGTGGAAATCGTTTCGCAATCTGGCCTTGACGGGGCCGATTGGATAGTTAATTATTTTTTTTATTTTTTTTTAATTTTACGTACTGGCTGTGTGGGGTGTTAACGCTGTGCGCTTATGTCGGGTTGTACGCGTAGCAGACTTGAGATCCAGTTATATAGGACAGCGCGCGACCTCCGTTGTATTGATACTCGTACCACGTTACCCTCGCTGAAGATTACACGAGCTCGTCGCACACAAATAGTTGACAGTTGATATATTTTTTCCTTTTTTTTAATTTTTCCCGAAATATTCAATTCAAATTTCTCCCTAAATATTTAAATTATTACGTTTTTTTATTAGTATAAATAATTTTAATATATATATGATAAACATGTAATTTTTCCAGGTTGATATTTTAGTAGGCACAGGGCGTGTTTTATACGCTAGATTATTATTTTACACAATAAACCTATCTGCATGGTAAAATGAAAATAAGGCTTGCTAGGAATTATAGCCGGATCCCGAGAGATATGTAAATTACTAACAAACAGACATTCTGATACAACCGTCAGTCAAAGCAATTTTCAACCATAATTTCAAATTCTGTTTCTATTATTATTTTGCCTTTTAAAGCCCCAAAGCGAATTTTGACATAGGGCTATAGAGTTTGGAAAACTGAATGTGTTTTAACTCACTTTACTTAAGGATTTGCAATAATTGTATACAATTTTAATATTAAAAATATTTAATGTAAAATTATTTTAAAATATATGGATACATATTATCATATGTAGAAATACTGTCCTAATATTAGGAAAATCTATACTTAACAAAAACATTTTATCAAGTCAAACAAAACAAAAGATTAAACGTTATTTTAAATTATTGACTCTAATATTCATAAAAAAACGTGTGATGGGTTTTCTACGACGATCATCGGTCTTTGGGTAATAAAAGCAAATGGAATTGTTCTCTTGCAAGACTTAGACTCTATTCTCCATATAACAAAGTTAAATGTTTATATCGACCTGAAAATTGTACCAGTCTAAGTACGCACTGCGATAAGAACCTCCATTCTTCATACATGGTCACATACTAAAGTCAGCCTTTGAAGAAATAAAACCTAATGTACCTAAGAATGAAGTTAAAAACAAAAATAATATAACTCTTGTTATTTTTTTAATGACTTGAACTGAATTTGTGTAGAGTATAGTAGTGGTAGCCCAGTGGTAACGCGCTCACTTGGGAAACCGAGTAAAGCGGGTTCAAATCTCAGATATTTTCATATGTGAATAATTTCCATCGTGATTACGACTTGTCTTATGATGAAGGAAAATATCGTGAGGAAACCTGCCTGAGAGAACCTAGCTAGTTTTCAAAAGACATGTGTAGTCCGCCAACCCGCACTCCGGCCCGGCCAGTGTGGTGGACTATGGCCTGATCCCCCTCGTATTGAAGGGAGGCCAACAGTAGGGCGTTAAAAGGGCTGAATACATAGGTATATTACAAAGTTTAATTTTAAAAAAGAAGACTCTCTTAGTATGGGTTATTTTTCTGGATATTCTACGTTCATTTTATACTCCCATATTTATAATTTCCCATATGTCATTGTATAGCTCATATAAAGCTTTTCTTTGTTCTTTTCGATAGTTTCATTAGTATATATAAATTGTAAAATCCTTCGAAAGTAAAAACATGTAATAAATTTTTGCGAATAAAAATACGGTGTTATTTTTACTTCAACTTGAATTATTGCATTAGTTAAACATTTTACGTTAACGTTTAAAATTTTTATGATACACTTGAATTGTAAGTGTTAATGTTGTTTCATAATAATATTCATTGTTATAACGAATATGTAAACAGTAATTAAAATAAACATTAGTTCTTTTATAAAAATTAAACTATCCTAATTGCGTACACATTTGAATTTTTTATTAAAATGCTAACTCAGAAGCAGCGGAGACATCTTAACTACTATTAAAACGGTATCTATGAAGTAAGCGATAAATGATTATATATGGCACTAGCGACTCACCCTCGCTCCGCTCGGATTCGTCCCTACTTACGTTTTAACTTTTAGTATAGATTTCTCAGAAATTAAATATTTTCCCGCGGTAAAAAGTATCCTATATGTTGACCCGGATAACCAGCTATCGTTATACCAAATTTCATTAAACTTCTAGTGGTTTTTCCGTGATGCAGTCACAGACAGACAGACAAAAATCTAAAACTCTACATTCGGCCTCTGTATCGATAATAATGTCTATTTCAATAAGATTTTCCAAAAAATATTTAATGTACAGATTCGGCTTAGTTATAATTTTATTATATGTATAGATATTTTGACGACACGTTTGGCTGTTTGTAGTCACCCTAACTGCTGTGTCAGCGGACGCGGGTTCGAGTCCAGCTGGAAGCATTCATTTGCGTAATGAGCACGAATGTTTGTATTCCAGTCATGGGTGTTTATATTTATAATACTTATTTAAAGTTACATGTGTAGTGTATCAAGTATCTGGTATCCATAACACAAGCCTCGTAACTTACCATGGAACTAGATGGTGCTATGTGTTAAGGTCCCATCATATTTATTTATTTAGGTATATTATGTCTTGTAACTCATAAAATTAAACTTACTTCAAAATTGATTAAAAGTATCAAAATTTTCCCTTCACATATCTGAAGCCTCATGTCTCGAGAATTAAAACTTTAAAACCATCTTTTACTTGAAATAGGAACGTGAAGGCAATGTCAGTTAGCAAGATACTTAATATGACGTAAGACTCCTCGTCAGAAAAAAAAATTACCAATTGACATACAAACTATTTTAATCAAATGTAATAATAACCTATTTCATTCAAAAATATATACTTTATTTTTACATTCATTACAAGAACTAAAGAACTCGAAGTAATTTTACTTATATTACAAATGACTTCCCTCCAAGTTCGAAGCATAATCCTCAATTATCGTCATATGAGATAATATTGTAAATGTGCAAATGTGAATCCTACAAATTATACAATGATTTTTAAGAAATAAAAAAACTACACCAAAATACCTTACCATATTTTTTCATTATTATTTAATACTTTTTTTAAATTTTAATAAATTATAGTATAATTAAATAATAAATAATATTTACTTAATATTATTTATTAAGTATAATATATATATTAAATAAGTATTTATTCGTAGATTATTTATTATATTATTTTGGTTGCTATTATTACACATACTAAAACTTTTTTTTTTTAAATTAAATTGAAAAAACTTTTTATTCCCCTTTGTTGCTATTATTTTAATAACTTTAAAATCTAAAATATTAAGTTTTTAATTAAAAAATTAAATTATTGCCTTATAATGTGTAATTTAAATATTACCTACTGTGGATTGTTATTAAATCAAGGTAAAAAAATATTACTCAACACTATTATTATTCTGTATCTACACACTAAGACCTAACTACATCTAATAGCTTATAAAGTCTACTTTCATTTTTAACCCCCGACACAAAAAGAGGGGTGCTATCAGTTTGACGTCGATGTCTGTCTTGTGTGTGTGTATGTCTGTGGTATCGTAGCTCTCAAACGGATGGACCGATTTCGATACGTTTTTTTTCATTTGAAAGCCAGTTTCCTTGCGGTGGTTCCTAGCTATGTTTGATTAATATCGGTCCAGCAGTGTAAGAGTATCAGCTCTTTTCCAAAATGATGTAAGGCATTTTGGCGTATGATTATTCGATTAAGTGTTTCGCGTGCCAGTGTAATCGTTAAATGACAATTAATTTACGTAGGGGTTTTTTCAAATTTATAATTATTGTTTTTTGATGTTATTATATGAATTACGGATCCCACGATGATGGTAGCACCAGCCATTTTCCCTATTGAAAGTATGTATTTTTATTTCAATAGCTTCTCGAACCATTCTAGGGCGATAACGATCTCCTTTTACGAGGATTTGTAGCTTATCGAGTCTAATGTGGTGGCTTGTGCGATCCTGACTATTTTGACAGACCGCAAACTTAGTATTGCGACGGTGCTTCACGGAGGGTGGTTCACATCAGCTGTAATTATTGTTCTAAAAAATTAATTATAAATTGTTATGTTTAACTTATTAGAAACAAGAGTATCGTTTCATAAACTTTTACATAATGGTATAAATGGTAAGTTGCACTATTTATTTAAAAATTAGTTAAAATTTTTGCAAGTTTAAAACAATTTAGTGTACAATAGACCATTTTACAATGATTATAAGTTAAAAGTGAGAAGGATTTTTGTGACATTGTTATAATCTCAGAATCAGTATAATAATAATAGCAATTAAAATCACTTCAAGGCAATAGTGTTTGCCAAATTGGAACTTTTAACACACATATACTTATATACATATTATAGTCATTAAATTTATTATTTTTTTCGCTAAATTTTAAAATATTTACATGACATTGCATTACGGTGAGTATAATAATCATTTCGATCTTTACTTATTTATATGTAAAGCTGAATAATTTATTTATTTCAACTTGTTAGTCTATAAGTCCGATTTAAATAACTTTTTTTGCATCTTATAGCCTATTTATTTAGGAAACTTGCAAGCTATTTAACGCCTCGCTTCGACAATAATATAATGAACGAAGTAATTTTAGATAAGTAAAATTCTTAAGTGGAACCGCGTGAAAACGCTAGTATAAATCAATTTTATATATTTGGACTCCCTATCGTCTCCTCTATCAAAAAATACCACTTACTCCTCCAGGGGCCGCGTCCCATATACTAAACTGCAGCCTAAATATCTATGTATATGAAGAAATCAC